TTTTAAAGTAATTTGCTGCAATTATTGTTCTAGGGATCTTTCGAAATGAGCATTCTACAATTGGATTACTCCATTTGTAATAAGATATTTAATAATCAAATGCAATTAAAATAAGTTGCATTCCTGATTCCTCAAAAATGGTAAGCATGTTAGTTAATAATATATAAAATGATGTTGTTTAATCACATTATTGGCATGTGTAGGCCTCTGTCTAGAGCGTATTTCTACCAGCTTCCTCCCTAAAAATATATTCTGTGAAACAGCAACAACGACAACAACAAGTTGAAGTCGGCAATCTGCTTGGGTCTGGGGGCGATAAGCAGCTGTGTTTTTATTTTAATTAAAGCATCCAAGTGCAGAAACAGCAGCAGCATCCACTCACACACACAAACACACAGATATAGCCGTTCAAGTATTGGGGTGGATGTGTAGATAGGAGATAGGGGAGTGGGGAGTGGGCACATTTATGAGGCATGTTATCTAATTATAAAAACAATGCCAGACAAAGTCACTGGGAAGCACATGCATCACGTGTGCGTTTGACTTGCCACAGACACCAAATATGCGGCTAGCTATTTCTTTCCCCTCGTTTTTCTTCCTACTTTGCCACTTGAGTTCACAATTTTGTACAGGCTTGTTCTTTGCCAAGGCAAACTAGAGTAAAAGTTTTGCCAAAAAAACCAAATAAAAACAAAAATGAGACGGAAGAGTTCGACTAATAGATACCATAAGGCCGGCTGTTATATATATATATTATATGGTATTGTATATTTTATTGCTTTCAGTTATCGATTAATATCGATATTGGAGAAACGGGAGCAGCCGTCAATAGAATAAAATAAACAGATCTAGCTCTAATAGGGTAGACAAACAGACAGACGGACATCGATGCTGATCAAGAATATATATGTACTTTAGGGGATCGGCGATGCCCTTAACCATTTTGAATTGGTTCAGGGTATGCCATAATAAAATGTTGCTGACTAATTGCACCAATAACAAGATCAACAACAAGGAAAGCCACAAAAGCCATGAGATGAAAGCCAACAGACTAAAGTTAAGGCCAACAACAATGAACGTTTTCATTCATGAATGAATCATTATGCAAAAAAGTTGAAGCTTTTGTTATTGTCGTTGTTGTTGTTGCTGTTCTCAAAAAGATTAAAAACGAAACTTAAGCGTAATGCACAAAGCCAATTGTCCAAGCAGTTGCCACTCCTCACAACAGTCCACTCCACTCCCAACTGCCCAGTTACCACCCGGCAGCTATACTCCTTGCTTGATACAAAAATAATAAATTGGATTTATTTTATATAAGCAAAAACATATAGAGAACAAATTCGCATGTGTCTGCTTTGCATGTAGACTAACTAGTGACTGCAAAGAAATTCATTTGAATGCAGTTTGCCTGATTATCGATGTGTTTAAACTGACATTGATGAAATTGGACAATATACCTAGCTAGTTTCCAGCTCATATTAGTCAAATTGCAATCGCAAATAATAATAATATATATACATATGTATATATGTTGAGCACATGGTTGCCCAGCAACCAAACCAATTTGACAATGGATCAGAGCAGGTATCGGTTCAAAGCGGAAGCCTTAGTTATGGCTGCTTATAACCTGCAACCATTGGGGTTCTTTGACCAAAAGGACACACTGCCTTCCAATACATTTATTTTAAGAAATTGCTCTAGCAGACACACACACACACACACACACACACACACACACACACACACACTCTCTCTCACACATACACACATACATAGACACACAGTTGCTCCTTGATTCGATCCACTCCAACTTGATTACTTGGACAAATTGATGCACTCGAACCATATTTAACATGTTCTTAAGTACAAAACAAAACAACAATTTAGAAGCAGGCAATATATACCCCGTAAATCAAACTTCTTACTCTTTATTAATTTTTAATTAATCAATTGTTTATATCCTCAAAGGATTGACATAAAAAATGTATAGATTTTTAATTGTTTCAAATTATTTCAAGTTCTTTTATTATTAATAACTTTGACACATTTTCTCTCTGTGCCTTTAAACTGAAATTTGAAACTTGAGTATTAATGTAAAATGGGTAAAAATATTTCAATTATTAAGGAAAAATAACTTTAGTCAATATTTTCACAGGGTATGAAAACTAATTAATCAAGCCACAGAAGTTATGCAAAGGGATGTCTGTGAACAACAGATGAATATAGAATATGGCCAACTATGTGGAATATGTGGACTATTTGGAGTATGTTAACTATTTGGATGGCTGCAGTGAAAAGTTTTGAATGAATGTTGCAATTAAATACGGAGAAAATGGCAACAAGTAGGAGAGCCCCTCAGCAAGCACACAAAATAAGAATATACATTTTAAATAAAAATTAATTGAATACACGCAGACGCACACACACACACACACACACTAATACACTCACCCAAAAATTACCATTGGCAATGGAAATTTGAATTAGAAAACTTTTTGAGTAAAATAAGGAATATGAAAATGATTTTCACAGCAGCAAAGAGCACTTAAAGAAAAAATATGAAACATTTTGAGCACAGCACGTTTTTATTGGCTTCTGCGTGCCTGTGTGTGTGTGTGTGTGCGTGTGTTCAGTGTGTGTATAGCTGATTGTTGTTGTTACTGCTGATTGACGTGCAACGAGCTTCAATCGCCATATCCCACAAACCATGTTTGCGTGTGAAATCATGTTAATTGGCGTGTATACGAGTGTGTGTGCGAGTGTGTGTACGAGTGTGTGTGCGAGAGTGTGTCTAGCATGAATATTTAAAACTTTACACGCCAAGCAATTTCGGCAAAAAGCGCCCGCGTAGAAAACCAGCCAGCCGAATGTTAAATGCCCAAAAGTTAGCGACATTGACTGCGAAAATGAGTTTTGCGAGCATGCAACCAGCAACCAGCAATCCCCAAACCGCAACTCTAACCAACACACATACCACACTCACACATACACACACACACCACACACACACACACACATTCAACCCAATCCCTTCGCTGGCCAAAATTTGGTTTTATTAATTAGCTGGCGAGCGAAGTCTAATCGAAACTGTGACTTACACTGAGCTTGAGTGCAAGCCACGAAGAGTCATATAGAAAATATATGTGGAATATATACAGAATATATGTATAGGAAAGCACAACCATGATAGCCTGAAGAGTCATAGAAAATCGATTGAATATATACAGAACATATTTGTATTTGTAAGTTATAAGCAGTCAAAATAAGGAAGCTGCTTTGGCTAAGACATCAAAATAAATAAGGCAAGTTATGCTTAATATCAATTTGAGTATAAGCTTTATGAGATATTCTTATTAAGTAGACAAGAAGAGCTGCAGAAACTTAAGGATCTCAAATTGGAAAAGCAAAATACTTTTGCAGCAAATTGTTATAAAGCGTTTGTTGAGATAGGGCCAATAACTCGTCTTTAACTGTGTGTCTGTATAACTATCACGTTAATATAATAAATAATTCAAAAATGAGACTTTTTCTTCCCTTTTGGTGGCACATTTTGCAGGCAATAAAAAGCTGTGAATTATTGCGCAGCACTGTTGCCAATTAGCGTGGCTCAAATACAATGTCAGAACGCTTTTAAGTGACTTTGCTCCTGCACAGTAGGCAACGCCTTTGTATGTGTGTGTGTCTGTGTCTGTGTGTGTGTGTGTGTATGTGTGTGTGTGTGTGAAAAATGTTTCGATTATCAAAAGGCGGCAGAAACAAAACGGTTAAAGTCCATTTGGAATGGTGACCCTAAGCTGACATTTTGACATTGACTTGGGGCTTAGCTGACTTAGAAATAAATACCATATATATATAGCGTATATAAAAAGCTATATATCTTGTCTATATATTTATGTTGTTGTTGTTGTTGTTGCTGTTGCTGTTGTCCAATACATAAAACTTGATGAGTTGCTGGCGCTTTGAACTGAAGTGAAACACAAATTAATTAACTGCCATCGATTCGGCGTGTCCAATTTTTTAGGGGCAACATTTAAAGGACAATCAATTACTTAATTGAAAATATGAATGGGCTTTTTGTGATGTAAGGCAAAGGGACTGGATGTGTGTTGGGTGGATGAAGGGGGGCGGGGCTTATGCCTTGAAAAGGGGCCACAAAACAAACGAAGGTTTACAAAGTATTATGGGTTTTCTGGCATACGAAAGCACAGAAATTGCAAATAAATTATGGGAAACGAGTTTCAGACAAATATTTACACACACACACACGCATACGAGGAAATACATATATACAGACATACAACAGCAGAAAATACGCGCAAAAGGCGTATAAAAAAATAAGAATAAAAAAATAAATAAATAAAAAAAAACCGACCTAATTTATATGCATTTTTATTATGCGGCAAGCCTCAATTGGAGATGCAAACTGACGGTTGGCCAATAAAAATAAAAATGAAACAAATTTAAATATGTTATCAAGACAATTTAACGTTATTTTTTTTCAATTCTTCAACTTTCAATTATGATTCAAATTCGAATTGTTCGAGAAGATCACAAAATTGTCCTGCAATCTGTGCTTTTGTCCTTTATCAGCTTTGTTTTTGATTGTTTTCTCTGTCAAACTCAAACACACTTTGAAGTTATTTACAGAAAGGGAACCAGACACTGTAAATGAACATTCTCAGCAGTGACTAACCCAGAACTAAGGTGATAGGGAACCAATGACAATTGCTCTGCTAGCTAGCTGATAACCTCCCTCAAGTGTGCAGAGGCTATTGTGACGACAATCTCATATATAAATGTGAAATGTGATAAAAATTAAGTAAAATGACAGACAAAATGTAATATCATTATTACTATGATGGAGCTAGTAATGTACTGTATCATAATTGTATATATACGACGTGTGTTCAAAAAGTATCGCGAATTTTGAATTTTCGCGGGTTACGTATATTCGAATTTCGATTTTTTTGTAGCGTTATGTTGGTACTCATGTCTCTCACTTATGCCGACAAGCTCGGCCATTTTGAATGTTCACTTAATTGTTGACAGCTGCTTTGCTTGCTCGTGTTTTGGATCGTCTTCGATTTTTACCTATTCAAAAAAATGGATCAAAGAACCTGTATCAAATTTTGTGTGAAAAACGAAATTAAGTGCGCGGATGCATTCCGAATGTTGATTGTGGCATACGGAGAAGCTACCTTGGACCGAAGCAACGTTTATCGGCGGTACAAAATGTTCTCAGAAGGCCGAGAAGATGTGAACGACGAAGAGCGTGCCGGACGCCCGAGCACTTCAACAACAGACGAAAAAATTAATGGAGTGGAGAAAATGGTATTGGCCAATCGTCGAATCACCGTTAGAGAAGTTGCTGAGGAGCTAGACATATCCATTGGCTCATGCCATTCGATTTTTATCAATGATTTGGGCATGAGACGGGTCGCCGCGAAATTCGTACCAAAATTGCTCAATTGCGACCAAAAACAGCATCGCATGAACATTGCTAATGAGATGTTGGACTCTGCCCGCGACGACCCAAATTTGCTCCAGAGGGTCATAACTGGTGACGAATCGTGGGTTTATGGTTACGACGTGGAAACCAAAGCTCAATCATCTCAATGGAAGCTGCCGCACGAACCAAGACCGAAAAAAGCGCGCCAAGTTCGGTCGAATGTGAAAGTTTTGCTGAAAGTTTTCTTCGATTGCAGGGGCGTGGTGCATCATGAGTTCTTGCCACAGGGTAGAACGGTCAATAAGGAATATTACCTGCAAGTTATGCGCAATTTGCGCGAAGCAATCCGCCAGAAACGCCCGGATTTGTGGAAGAACAAAAATTGGCTTTTGCACCACGATAACGCCCCTGCTCACACATCGTTGCTTGTGCGCGACTTTTTGGCCAAAAACAACACACTAATGATGCCGCAGCCACCGTATTCCCCAGATCTGGCCCCCTGTGACTTTTTCTTGTTCCCTAAACTGAAGAGGCCCATGAAAGGACGACGTTACGCTACGCTTGACGAGATAAAGACGGGATCGAAGGAGGAGCTGAACAAGATAAAAAAAAATGATTTTTGGAGTGCTTCGAAGATTGGAAAAACCGTTGGCACAAGTGTGTAATATCTCTTGGGGATTACTTTGAAGGGGACAAAATAGATATTCATGAATAAATAAATAATATCTGAAAAAACACAAAATTCGCGATACTTTTTGAACACACCTCGTACTTCAGGTATTAACAGGTACATCCAAGAATTCACAAGACTCGTAAGACTTACCTAAAACGAGAAAGAGCAAAGAAATGATTTTAATTAGTTGAAAATATTCAATAGATATGTTGTCAATAGACACATGCAAATAAGTCGTATTATAATGTTTAAGCAGAAAGCAGTAATGGCAAACAAGATCAAAGTAAGTCTAAATATGATTTAAATTAACTTAAATATGCGCAAAGTGAGTCTTGTCATTTCTTGTTTTCAGCTCGTTGCCAGGGCAACAAATTGAGTAAACAACGCCGAGGCGATCACATCCAAGTAGGAAATAAAAATGGGGAACCTTTGTTTTACATGCAGCATTTTTATTTATAGCTGCTACAGTTTTTTTCTTTCTTATATTATATTTCATTATTACGATTATTAATACATTGTTGTTGTCGGGCTGTGACATTTTTGTTGTTGCTGCTGTTGTTGTTGTTGAGTTTTATGCATGTCATCATAAACAATAACAATTCCCTCATTGGGGATGACAATGATTGGTGATGAACTGTCTCAGTATATGTGCATATAAATTGTGTAAATTGTTTTTGTTGTTGTTGCTGTTGTTGTTGTCGCGCGTTATCTGGCTAATTAAATGCGGCAAAATACACACACAACACAAACATGCACACACACACACAACCACACACACATCGGAATATCGGAGGCAGGCTGTCAAACATTTAGCGCCTGAAATTGGCCTTAAAACAAAACAGATTTTTCATCTGACAAATAAACATTGAAACAGCGGGGCATTCTTTAAACAGTGGGGCGATTGCCTGGGCTATGTATAGGTATAAATATATATACTATATATATATAGATGTATATGTGTGTGTGTGTGGGGGTGTATGGGTATGTGTGGGTATGTGGGTGGCTCAAGGAACTGAGAAATTGGTGAGCAGCAAATTGGTTCGATGTTGTGCGACTTGTTGCTGCTTGTCTCCTGTTGTTGTTGCCATTGTTTATTCAGCAAGGGTGTCAAAAGCTAAAACACACACACTAACAACAAGATGAAGAAGCAGCAGCAACAGCAGCGGCAACAGCAGCAGCAGCTCAAGCAAAGCTGCGTGAATTATGTAGGAGAGTGCAGTATTGAGAGAGGCATTGTGAGGGATTCCAATTGAGATTGAGATTGTGTGTGTGTGTGTGTGTGTGTGTGGGTGGGTGGGTGGCTGGGTGGTAGTGAGTTGAGGGATAGACATGAAATGAAAATAAAATCAAATAAAATGTGACAAGCAACACACGCGACGGCGTCAATGTCTTCTTGTGTGAAGTGGATTGTGATTTGATTGTCTGACTGGGAGTTGTGGTGTGGGGAGGGGAGGGGGGCGAAGGCTGGTGGAAAACGAGACTGACACATCACATAAAACTTTTAGCTGTTTGCTGATCAATTTTGAAAGTAAATAAAGTATTCCTTTCCTTTCCTTTCGTTTCCTTACATCCTTTTTATTTGATTTTTTATTAATACAAAGCAAATACCTGTCATAAGCAGTAAGGCTTTAAGCCCAAACTATACATGTAGCACTGAGTATGTCCTATTTATTATTAATATAATAGTTACAAGCATATTACAGTGAGAGCTGAGTATTGTTGTGGAAGCTCAGTATTATGTTCGACTCTATAAAACAACGACTTATTTCATTGATGCACCGACAACTTGACAACTTTAGGTACTCGTGGGGACTTTGACGACTTCTTCACGAACTCTGCTGTTCTTCTAGGACTCTTCTTCTTTCATTCATGCTTTTGCTGCTGTTAACCAGTGTTGCCACCCAACAGCACTCTAACCCCACTCGTTACATGCATTCTAGAGTTGCTGAATTTGTTAAACAGTTGATAAATAGTATGCAAATTTTCTAATTACTTTGTGTCTTTTATATCCATCGGAAATCGAATTATATCCATATTTGCGAAACGGGGATATAAATTTGACTTGATCTGTCTATGGTAATCGAGCTATTGATTGTTATCAAAGCAATAGTTATATTATTATTGGAAAACAAATAGAAAAGTTTAAGCTTATCGGAAATAGTTCTGAGATATTCTATGAATATCGAGCTACTCAATTAAGGTTTTATATATGTATGTTAAGAGGTGCTCAATAAGCCACAATGAGTATTATTATTATTGTATATCAAGCAATTATTTCCACTCTCTTTCAAGAGAACTTTAAATGGAGCTGAATGTAATAATTGAAATGCAGAACTTTTAAGGGATATTCAAATTTCGTTTGCCACTTTTAAAGAGGGAGCTCTTCAGCAATTGCAGCCACACCCCTGCGCCCCTTAACCCGCCCACTTCCATGTCCTGACTGACTGGCTGACTGATTTGATTGAAGTCTGGGCCAGTGTATGGCAAGCTTGTGACGGATATTGCGTGTTAAGTGCCACAACGGCAACAACAACTGTGTGGCATGCCCCCATCAACTAGGCTAGCCATAAATGAGATATGCAAAAATTTGCACGCTGTTTATGTGAAAATTATAATGTGTACGAATATTTCGCTGATTCTTTCGCTTAAACAATTTTACTTTTATTTTTTTAAGTGTGTGTGTGCGTGTGTGTGTGTGTGTGTACTTTGCGTGCAACGCGCAAATTTATATTTTGCAGTTGTGCCAAACATGTTGAGACGATTCATTCCAATAGCCTGCAACTGAGCGATAGTTGCGCTAATGAACCTAATTATGCACTCGGAGCGAGACGGCGTCGCCCGGCGACGGGGATGATAAGGCAGCAGCAAAAGAAACGAGGAATAATTCAAGGACGGTTGCACCTACTAAACACTTACAGCAACGGCCACAATGATAGTGCCACTGCCTGATAAAATACACACAGCGTAGTGGGTTAAGAATAATTATTTTATTTTATTTATGTTCGCATAAAACAATTATTTTACAAAAAGTGCAAACAAAAATTGGAAACTGCTCGCAGTTGGTTGTCGTGTTGCTTGCCAGTTTTGAAAGCAAAACAAAGTTTTGACATATATTTTGGAGGCCTTTTAGGCGCCAATATAATCGTGGGCATTGTATGGTTAAAATGCCAAGCTTTTCTTTGATAAATACAAAATAAATCAAATCACGATTCAAACGACCAAACAACACTTTCAAACACAACTATTTCTTTTTAGTTTTTAAGTTTACCTATTCCAGATTCAGATTCAGATCAGATTTGGTTTGTTTGAAAGACTGACCAAATATAAAATAAATGAATGTTTCAAGATCGAACTCTCCATTATATTTACCGCAACTGTATGCCTGCCTATATATATATATATATATATATTTATATATATATATATGTGTGTGTGTGTTTGTATGCGTATATATGTAGAGAGCATAGTCAAACTAAACGACAATTAATGACAGTGCATGCTGGCGTTAATGGTCAAATGGGCGTCAAACTCGAGAGCAAACCGATCGAAGTCGAAGAAAAGTTTAAGAAGGAGACAGAGAAGGAGAAAGAGAGAAAATAAAGAAGCTGCCACTGCGCAGCCAAAGACCTGCGACTAATGACTTTTGAATGAATTAAAAGCGTTAACAGAACATGGCCAACAACGAACAAACACAAACAACAAAATAAACAAAAACAAACAAAAGGGGAATAAAAAACCAAATTATCACAAAGCCAAAAAGATGATCGACAAACTCATAACTAACTGGCATTGATGGCAATAATTGTAAGCCAATAATTTAATAAAACGATGATAAACTTTGCATTTTAGAATTGAAAATCTTGAATGAGATAAAATGGAATTAAATATTGTATTTGTATT